GTCCCCATCGGCCCCTTCTCTGACACCTCCACCATGAGTAACCTCTATCCTGACTTCCAGCACTAGTGACTAGTTCGTCCTGTTTTGGATTTTTATATAAATAGAATCATTTAGTAAGTTCTCCCTGCAGCTGTCTTCTTTTCCAAACATTACGTTGGTGAGATTCATCTACCTTGTTGCATGTGGCAGTAGCCTGTTTACTTAATTCACATTCGTTTTTAATAATGCCAGAACAAAATTGTGTGTTCTTTTAGAGAACACACCCACATTTTTTGAGAAAGCAATTTAGTCTCCTTTTGCCTTTGGTCACTGTGATGGCAAAGCTTGAGCAACACAGGAACAAGCACTGACTTGGGTGTCAGGAGAAATGAAATCTAGTCCTCCTCTGTTGCTCATAGCTGTGTGACCTTCAGTAAGTCACTTAAAGTCTCTGAACTTCATTTCCTACATTCATAAAATAAGGAAGTAAAGCTATCTCTTTGATCTATCCCAGTATGAGTTGCCTTTGCTTCAGTTCTAAGTTGAATGGGCTTAACTTAAGGAAAGTTGATACAGGAAATAAAAATTTTCCGAGATAAATTTTTTTTATTATAAAAAAACAACATGTTTACTGTAACAGTTCAAACACTGAACTACACAAGGGAGAATCTAATAATAATTGTTCGAGCTTACTTTCCCACATATACAAAAGCAATGTTAGTTTGGTGTTCATTCTTTTACATATTTTCTGTTGTTACAACTATATTTTCACTTAATGAGCTTTATTGTGGTTGTTTTTGAAATGTTCTCATACTAATACATTTTATTCTGTCATTTTCTTTTCATGGGAATTTTTTTCAAGATTGGAATATATGTTCTTGTTCATTTACTGTCTGCAGAATTAGTGCCTGCCCAGTGTAACATACCACTGATGAACTATAATCAATCAACCATTACTCTATTAATTGATATTTAGGTGCTTTCTAATTTTATGCTATCACAACATGTTGCAATAAACATCCCTGTATACGTATTATAAACCCCAATATTCTCCTTTTGTTTGCTGGATAAAAACTGTCAGATTTTTTTTTCTAAAATGTTGTTTCATTTTCATCTTAATACTTAAATTTTGAGTAGATTTAAATGTGAGACTTGAAGCAAGAGAAAAAACAAGATCTTAATTTTCATAATTATGACAAATATTTATAGAAAAGCGAAAACTGAAAAATAAAACATTGAGCATAACTAAAAGGTTCATGTTTGAAATTGCTAAAGTCTGAAATCAGAAATGTGGGAAGAATAAATATTTTCCCAAGTAACAAACCAGAAACATGATTTTAGCTCCCAAAATGCAATATCAAGAATAAAAGTCCCGTCCCCCCAAAGAAAGATTTCTTTCTAAAATCACAGAAATAATTCACTCATGTTATTCTGTAGAAAGGCAGCTGAGTTGACTGGTTAAATTCTGTTTCAACATCAACCTGGAAAAACTTATAGTAACTTGTTAAAGGCTAATGAGGCATCTTTCCTGACCTGCTATCCCATACCAAGGAGGCACCCTATCCCACACCCTCTCAGGACCCTACCTCCTGCAAGCTAGGACAACAGACAGTTACAGTTAGGCTCTTCCAGTTGGTAGTATCCCATAGAGGAAGATGTGTTTATTCTGTCAGTGTTTCACTCTGAGGCTGCTCTGGAAGGGATACTTTTTCTTTATCCAATAAGATCTGAAACACCAAAACCTCCACCGCTGTCTCAAGAGACAGCCAGATGAAAACTCTCATCAAGAGGAAGAAGAAGAGGACTGGGGCTGAGAAAAGGGAGGGCAAAATGCCTAGGAGACCATTGAGGGAAGGAAAGAGGGAGGGAGGGAGACCAGAGAGAGGAACCCCTTCATTCACATCCTGACTCTGGGGGAAAAGTAAAGGTCCTTTATGCACCACCTCTGCCCTCCCTGTGCAGGCTTGAGTGTCAACGTTTTATTTCTGGTGGTGAACTGTTCCTTCCTGTCCTTCCAACTTTTAAGGGCATAGCTAAGGGGTTGCATCTGCGATGCGCATGGCATGATTCTACAGTAACGTGCTCTTCTTTGCACAAGAAGATAGCGCTACTTATTCATCTTCATGGGACATGCTGTTTTCTATTCACAGGGATAGTTTTACACTAATCCTGCCACTCCGTTTCCTTGGATTCCATGGTGACCAGCTGGTGCCATGTGCAGGCAGCTGGTTGAGGCTGTGGAACAGCTAATTGGCCAGCAGTGGGGATGAGGCTGTGAGCTCCACCTCATGGACTGAGCGCTTAATCATCAACTGAGTGTGGGCGTCAGTCACTCAGAGCTGGACAGTCAGGGCTCCAGCACTGATTAACTGTGAAAAGTCATACAGTGTCTACGTCTTCACTTAACCTCAGTTTGCTATCCATGAAAATGGGAATGATAATTGCTCTCTCATCAAGTGTTTCTGAGAACATTAAATGAGCTAAAATAGTTAAAACATTTACCTCATTAATTAAACAGACACTCTTTGGAAACCCCAGCACAAAAATAAATAATATGGTATCTTTCCTTTGGATGTAATTCTTAGGTGTGTCTACCGAAGAAGTAGTTGGCCACACCTTGAGCATTAAGTGGTGGCCAACAGAAAAGCCTCCTTCACTTCAGTGTGCAAAAATAGGTGTGCAGGTGTTTGTGGAAAGCCTTACACAAAGTTTATTTATTTATTTTTATCCTCAACTGAGGACATTTCTCTATTTTTTGTTCAGATAGAGTGGGAGGGAGAGAGAGGAACAGAGAGAGAGAGAAAGAGACATCAATGTGAAAGGGACACATTGAGTGGCTGCCTCCTGCATGACCCCAACCAGGGCCAGGGACGAATCACAACCGAGGTCTGTGTCCTTGACCGGAATCGAACCCGTGACTCACTGGCCAGCGGGCCGATGCACCAACTGCCGAACCAAACCGGCCAGGGCTAAATCCTGAGAATCCTGAGAGTGTCTGTGTTTGTTACAATTTTTTTTGTCTGACTGCTAGTTTGAGTCAGAGTTTAAACCTATCTCTTCATTTCTAGTCTAGTTGTCTACTTCTGATCAACTGTTCTTCCTTTTGAATGACATATTGTATTTGTCTCTTCTATTGCATCACTGTCAGAGACCTGAAATATAACTCTACCCTTTTACCAGTTGGTGAATACTCTGACCCTCATTCTCAATTTCTTTAATCATGTAAAAGTTTTCCATACTATGATTCCATTTCACAAGACTTTCAGAGGATACTTTCTGTGCACAGACAAAAATAATGACACTGAGTCATTTCCTTCATTGCTTTTTGAATCCCCATATAAAGTTATCAACCAAATATACCTAGCCTGGTCTACCAAGTGTGCCTGCTTAACATGGGTTAATGCTTGTGATATTAGTCACCGTTAATTGCTCAAGAGTTGAGATCAGGTAGGTAATCACTGAGTTCATCTGTAAAAAAAAAAAATGACTGTGGTCATGCTAAGGAATAAAAGGCTCCATGGCTACCAAATGACTGCAAATTACTTCATCAGGTTTGAGAGTATTTTATAGCAACATATATTGCTCCGAACTCTGAAATGCCAGGGGACAGGCAGTTTACGTAATTATTTTACTTTACCCTGCAATGGATCACTGTTTTGCCATTTATGAGTTTCTGTCTTTCTTTTTTGTTTGTTTTTGGTATAGTTTAATAGAGTCTATCCTACTCCAAATTCTCTGCTTGTTTGATTTTTAAATAGAATTCAAGGTTTGAATTAAACCCCATTTTTGAAAATTGACTTTATTTGAAAACTATTTTTCTACAAACTTTTTTCGACACTGGCATTCATTGAGATAGAAAAGAGAAAAGGAGCCCCGCAGGTATTCTGGAGGTAAGTAGCTCTTTGGGGATAACCTCTGTGTCTCCTGGAGAGCTTTGCCTGGGGTGTGCTCTCTGGAAGAAGCAAGACTGGAAGTAGGTTTCCAGAACTTGGGCATTAAGCAATTATGCACTGTGCCCAAAGCATCTGACCTTCCAATGCTGTACTTTGCCAAATACAGGGGGGAAACTCCTGAAATCTGTTCAAGCTGTCATGACAGACAGGGCCATATGGAAAGTGCTGGAAAAATTCCTCCTTAGACTATAATTGCCTCGATGGGCAGAAACTCTGCCTTCTATCAGCTGTGGTATGTGTATGGCCCACAGTGCTTGAGGCCGTGTTTAGGGCTTATTGTTTTTTTTTAAAGAGGGCTTATTGTTTAAGGCCTCAACGCAAAATTAAAATGGGATGTTAAATAGACTGTTTGCTTGAGGGAGCCAATGACATTTCATTTCTCTTTATTTATAGTGTCAGCTTCCTTAATCCCTGCAATGCATAATATGCACACAGGTTGATGATTTGAAAAAAGAAAACAAGACCAAGATACGCTTGTAGATGCATTTATGGTCAGGTAGATGAAACTGCCCACTGGACGTGTTGCTCCCTTCTAACTGAGCGTCAGGTGCGCAGAGAGTATCTGAGCGTGGGAGCCGCTGCAGTATCATGGTTAAGGGGCAACCTCTGGAGCGAGACTGCCTGGGTTTTTATTCTGTTCCATGATTCCTTGACATCTCTGTGCCTCAGTTTTCCTGTCTAGAAAATAACTACAGTAATTGTACCTAACGCTTCAGGTTGTTCTGAGAAGTAAATGAATTAATATACATATTTAAAAGGGCCTTACATAGTACTTTGGGTATAGTAGGCACTATATAAGTCTTAGCTATAATTACTATTTCAAAAATGTTATCATCATTAAGAATTTAGGATTTTGCACCACTAAACGTAGTTCTCTGTATTGAAAAAGTTGATCGCAAATTTGGCAAATTCTCTTTCTTTATTCCTTCACTCTCTTCCTCTCTCCCTCTCTCTGTTTCTTTCTCTTGACTTTTCTCTTTTAGTCTCTTCACCTGGGACTCATGCCCCATCTCCCCGTGGCTATATTTGACATTTCCAATCTTTCCCTAGGTAGTGTTTATAATGGCAATGAGGTGGGCAGATCTGAGTTGTCGTGGGGACAGTGGCAGGGCTGTGCTGTCCACATCTCAAGTACGAAAAGGTAAATGCTTCGGTTGTCAGGGGCTCCCACTCCATACCCACCCCCATGCCTAACAGAGGAAGGAACATTTTTCTGTGCGGGGGTGGCTTTCATGTTGGAAGGGGATGGTTGACGGTGTTATTTTTGTGCCCCACAAATGTGGATGTTTAAAATAGTGCTTTATTCAATCGGCATAAGTGACACATAGACTATGTATAGTGGTGGAGCGGGGCCTGGCAGGTGATGAGGGCCAGATCTCACCAAGAGTCGTGGTTCTCCACGGATGACACCCAAGGGGTCTTTCCTGAGGATGGCCGGCACAGAACCCCCACTGTGGCTGCCTGGAAAATTCACTGGCACAACCACTGAACTGTTTGAAATGGATGCACCTCAGAGCCAGTGAACTGGGATTCTGGCTGCGTGTCCATGGGGCATGCCAGCGGGTCACATTTCCTCTCTGAACCTCCCTCCAGGCAGCACTGTACTCATGAAGGGTAAGTGTGTTCGCCGTTCTTTCGTGCCTCTGGACTCGGGGCCCTGCAGGTCTGGAACTCAGCCAGCGTAACCGAAGCAGGAGGCTGCAGCTCAGGCTATATTTAATTGCAGGTTTATTGTCTTGCCACGGTTTTAGAAGATCAGGGCACTTTTTTTTGAGATCGATTGGATATTGTTGGGAATTGAAGTAGTGTCAGTTTTGACCCCAGGCGCTCCTTTTTGGTGACTGTAATTAAAAGCGTATTTAAATCCTTACGTTTTAAGCCTTTGAAAATCGCCCTTTTGTGCTTCAAGTCAGCACAGTGAGGACTGTAGAAGGGACTCTTCCTATTTTGAAACAAACAGATTATGTTTCACGAAGTGTAACTTTGCGGAAAGGGGGGTGGGTGGAATGTTTTCTTCCTATGCAAGGTTTATTTATTTATTTTTTAAAATCAGAATTCATCTGATTTGAGATAAAAGAGAAGAAAATGCTCAGCTTTTGAAGCAAGTGTAAAGCTCACCGTATGTCCAAGGGAGATTCTGAAATCCTTCTGGATGGTCTTTGAATGGATTTGCAATGCGATGCAGAATTTGGATTTTATTTAAGGACAAGGGGGGAAAACCCATAGCATCAGATTTGGGAGTGAAAGTGGCAGCGAGGGAAGAGTAATCTCACACTTCTCGGACATCACTGTGATAGACGCATAGAGCATTTGGTTGATTCGAACTGGAACCCACACACCTCCTCCACCGCCAACCTTCTCTTTTTCATCTTAGGGCCTCTTCTGTACCCTCAAGTGTGGTTTCACTATGACTAGGGAATAGACACTAAAAATATTTCTGGAATGACGTGACCCACTCTCCCCCATCCAGGAAAGGGACAAGGCTTCACAAGAAACAGCACATACTTTCCTTTCATTCCCGGGAGTCCTGGGGTCGACCTACAGATGCTGCTCCTTCCATGGCCGATGGCGTCCGGACCCCTAGCTGCCGACGGTGCCAGGCAAACCACTGGACTGGACAGCTCAGCTACAGGAAGGTGGCCACAGTCTCGGCCAGCGCAGCAGCCCCCCAGTCACAGACCACCTCTGCCATCCCACCCTGGAGCCTTCCCACCTCCCTCAGGCTTGCCTCGGCCCAGGCACAGGGGCTGAAGAACTGGGAGGTGGTGGCAACGGGGGCAGTGGTGTCTACAGCCTTGGGGCCAGTCCAGGCGCATAGGACCCTGCTCCGGGCAACTCTGTGGCCCCTCCAGTGCCAGGGAGGGACCCAGGACAGCCTCAACGCTCAGCCTTGTCTCTTCCTGTCGCTGATACCTAGGAGAAGGCTCAGAATGGAAGCTGCCACTCCTGAGCTGAATCTGCAGGCCAGACTGAGGGAGGTGGGGGACGGGGAGAGCGGAGCTCAAGATAGCCAGGAGCTAAAACAGCAGCTGCAGCCACTGCCCAAGCCATCAGCCTCCTCCCAGCAAGAAGCGAAATATGTGGAGATGTGCACTTCGGCTGGAGCCCAGAGGGAAAGTCCCCGGACCATGGAACTGACTCTGGAGGGCTCGTCTGGGGACCAGAGTGCCTCTAGGAGTCCCAAGGAGAAAGCCCAAGATGAACCCAGCAGTCAAGAGTGTAAGGCTCTAACCCCCCAGAAGAATCCTGCTTCTTCAGAACGTTCCAGATCCCAGCTCTCCGGCACAGATGAGAGCAGCAACTTCTCCTCCTCCTCCTCCTCCTCCCCAGTGGGAAAAACACAAGGTGGCCTTTTCAAGCTGGATGAGACCACCGCATCGACAGGGGCTCTGGCCACCTCGTCTTCCTCCTTAGGCTTTGAGAGTGACAGTGGCGAGAGCGCAGTGAGCTGCCAGCCCAGGGGAGGAGAGGGAGAGGAAAAAGCAGGAGGAGGAGGTGGGGGAGGAAGAGAAGGAGGGGAAGAAGAAGATGGAACACAGTGCAGGGACATTATTGCCAAGTCTCAGGGAAGCAGAGGCCCCTCAAAACACGAGGAGGCTCACTACATCACCACCCACGAGATCCAGCTGAGCGAGGTGGAGCAGGACATGGATTTCGACGTGGGGCTGGCCTCCCACTGGGATTTCGAGGACAACAACGTGATCTACTCATTCGTGGACTATGCTTCCTTTGGTGGCAGTGACGAGACCCCGGGGGACATCACCACCCCAACCGAAGAGGAGGACAACAGCTGCTACCTCAGTACCACTCCCAGCACCAACGCCACCCGGACACCCAGCCCCTTCAGCAGTGACCCTCCCCGCCCCTGCGCAGGCAGCAGTGGTCGGGACACCAGCAGCACGGAAGTGGGCAGTGGCCCTTCTGACAGTGGCCCCACTCCCCCACCCTCTGGGCCTGGCACTGCCAGTGGGCCGGAGCCCTTGCCGGAGCCCCCGGAGGCAGCCTCAGGGGCAGCAGCCGCGGGAGGCAGCTGTGGGAGTGCAGCAAGCCAGATCCTCCTATCAATCAAACCGACTTCCCGGGCTATAAATGAGCCTAGCAACGTGCGTGCAAAGCAAAACATTATTTATGCTGCCAAGCATGAAGGCGACATGAGCCTCCGCGTCTCTACAGCTGCTGAACACCATTCAAGTTCACTGAAGCAAGACCCGGCTGCAGCCGTGGCTCAGGACCATGCGAAGAAATTCATTGCTGTCCCTGCTCGCCTGCAAACACGGTGCGGAGCCGTTCGGGCCAAGGAGCTGGTGGACTATTCCAGCGGGGCCTCCAGCGCCGTGAGTGAGCTGGACGATGCGGACAAAGAGGTGGGTAACCTGACCTCGCGCGCCTTCCGGAGCCTCGCTTACCCGTACTTTGAGGCTCTGAACATCAGCTCCCGGGAGTCCTCCACGCTCTCCGAAGTTGGCTTTGGGCGCTGGTCGACCTTCCTAGACCTAAAATGCGGGGGCGTTGGAGCCAGAGTGGAGCAGAGCCTGCTGCGGAGCAGCGCGGCCTCGGTGGCCGCAGGGCTGAGGAAGGGCTGTGGAGCCAGGACAACCGCAGACCAGCTCTACATCCACTCCAGGAAGTCCCAGACCAAGGCCTTGGAGTTCGTGGTCAGCAAAGTCGAGGGGGAAATCAAGCATGTGGAGACACCTCTGTGTTTCCAGAAGCAGGTCCAGACAGGCTCCCGCGTGGTCACCCTTCTCGAGCCTCTGAATTTACGCAGTGAGAGCAAAGCCAGCTCCGCCACGGGGCCCTGCAGGGCCAGCAAAGGTTCCAGCAAGGGCCCGGGGTCAGTGTACACAGATGACGGCTCCGAGACCCCCGAGTGCAGCAAGCCCGCCTCCCGGGCGGAGGGCCCCCAGAAGTCCAAGTTTGCTTCCAGTCTGCTCAAAAATGTCATCTCCAAGAAGATGCAGCGGGAACATGAGTTCAAAATGGAGAGGGGTGAAGTCACTGATACGTCCCACCGTAACCTCTCCAGCACGTCCAAGGAGCCGGAGGGCTCCCCTGGAGGCGAGAAGCAGCGGGACAGGGGCCTGCAGAGGCAGAGCTCCCGCCACTCCGAGGCCAGCTCCGAGTACACGGTGCTCAGCGTGTCTGATGCAGGTGGGGAGGGGTCCGTGGTGGGCTCTAAATCCCCAGTTTTCAAAGCCAGTGCTCCTCGGGAGAGCAACGCAGGCTCCGGCCGAAATGTCGCCGATGGACAAACAGAGGAAGTGTGTGAAATTAAAAAGAGTGCATCAGAGACTGTCAAGGGCATCTTCCTCCGCAGTCAGAACAGCGCGTTCCGGTCCTGGAAGGAGAAAGAGGCTGAGAAGCGGGAAGAAAAAGCCCCCATCGGGAAGCTGAAACTCCCCAAAGGGGGTGACTGGAGGGCTGATCTCGGGGAGATCTCTGCCAGCAAGTCCACCATCATGTCTCGGCTCTTTGTCCCCAACATCCAGCAGACACCCAAGGACAAGCAGCCGGAGAAACAGGCCACCAAGTACCCTGCTGCCCAGGCCACCTCCACTGCTGTGATCAGGCCCAAGGCTCCGGAAATCAAGATCCGGCTGGGGAGTGTGCAGCAGCCAAGCTCAGACTTCAACATTGCCAAGCTGCTCACGCCCAAACTGGCCAGTGGCAGTGCCTCTAACCTCCTCAAGACCATTGAGGACAACACCAGGGTGCAACAGAAACTCTTCCGGGGGGACAACCTGGAAAAAGTGCCCCAATTCCAGGTGAGAGACGTCAGAGAGAAGTCCAAGGCTCAGGGCCCCCTCCACCAAGTGAGGGATGTCAGAAAACTAATCAAAGGGTCAGGAGAGAGCAGTGACAAGGGCAGTGCTACCCCCGAGCAGGGGCTGTCGGGGCCCAAATCCAGGCAGCTGGCTGCTGCTGCTGGCGGATCCAGATCCCTGTCCCCCATGGTGATTACGTGCCAGGCCGTGGTGAACCAGAGGGAAGACAGCATGGACCGGGAGCTGAGGGAGAGCGTGGGCAAAGGTGGCAGCAACAGTGGCTTGAATCCCACCTCCCCAGAAGGGACAGTCTTGGTTCACAGGGCATCTGGCAGGCTGCCTGTGGCCACTATTGCCCCCAATAAGCCTGAGCAGGGCTCATACTTGCCCGTGCTCAAGATCATCTCCAAGGCTTCTGCTCAGAAGACCCCGGAGAAGGCCAAGGACGAGGAGGTCAAGGAGGAAGGGAAAGGCCCCAAGCCATCTCGGAATGCGCTGGAGAAGCTGACTGCTGCAGTGCGGTCCATGGAGGAGCTGTACAGCTTCAACAGGAATGAGTGGAAGCGCAAAAGCGACCCCTTGCCCATGATGACAGACAGCCATGTCCTGTCTCTCATTGCCAGTGAGGAGAGAGAAGGGGCTGGGGGTGCTGAGGGGGACCCCGACAAGCTGGCCAAACGGCTGGGTGAGGTGGGAGATCGGGGCACAGGAAACAAAGACGGAGTGGTCCTGCGAGGGGCCCCCATGGAGCGTCTGCTGCGGAGAAACTCCAACCCGAACTCTGAGAGTGTGTCTGCCCGTGCAGCTGCCTTTGAGAACCTGGCCAGGGAAAGGCCTCGATCCCTCTATATTCCTCCAGTCCACAAAGATGTGGAGAGAACCCAGCCCCTGCAGCCCCTCCCACCACTCCCCAGCAACCGGAAGGTGTTCACAGTGAGTGCCAGCAGCACCCAGAAAACTGGGGGTGTTGCTGGCAAGTTCCCACAAGGGCTTTCTCCAGAGAGTCCTTCAGCAGCAAAGGGCAGCAAATCTCAGGGACTCCGGTCCCTCAAGATCTCTCCAGCCACCCGGGCACCACTTGATGAGGTGACCAACAGGAAAAATGGCAGCAGTTTGGAAAAGAACAATAGTGACTGTGAAAATTACCTGACCATCCCCCTTAAAGGAAGCTCTGCAGCTGGGGAGCTTCCAGGCAGGCCTGGGGCTAGGAGGGAGGGGCCTCCAGCCTCCTCAGTGGCCACTCTCTGCAGCTTGCCCCCCCTGAGTGCTCGCAGTCAGGTCCCCAGTTGCCCCAAAGGTACCCAGGTCAGTGGAACCAGCCGGCCAGCTTGGACTACCAAACCTGACAACCCGCGGGAGTCGGTAGCTGCCCCACCAGGGCCCCAGAGCCCCGAGCATCCTCCCACTGCCATCTACCGCCAGCAGCCACTGCCCTTCACCCTGCAGGGGGCCCAGCCCCAGGTCCTTTGCTTCTCCCCACCTGGCATGCCTGCCCCAGCATCTGCAGGCCGAGCTCCGGTCCCCACAGACGCCTTCCAGCAGCCACAGCCTCAGCAGACCCAGCGCAAGATGCTCCTGGATGTGACAACTGGCCAGTACTACCTGGTGGACACCCCAGTACAGCCCATGACTCGCAGACTGTTTGATCCTGAGACAGGGCAGTATGTGGATGTGCCCATGACGTCCCAGCAGCAAGCTGTGGCTCCCATGTCCCTCCCTATGCCTCCCTTGGCCCTGAGTCCTGGAGCCTATGGACCCACCTACATGATCTACCCTGGGTTTCTGCCCACAGTGCTGCCTACCAGTGCCCTGCAGCCCACACCAGTTGCTCACACTCCAGGGGGCAGTGAGCTCTCCCAGATGGCTGCAGAGACCCCCAGCAAAGAGGCAGCTGCCAAGTTCACAGAGGCCCCATACTTCATGGCCTCTGGTCAGTCTCCCACCTCTGCTTCTTCCTCAGCCCCAGCAGCCACATCCCAGCTGGTGGGGGCCAAGGGCTTTGCCCAGCTGCACAGCAAGCCTGTCATCAGCATCACTTCCCAGCCCCTGGGGCCGAGGATCATTGCGCCCCCCTCCTTTGATGGCACCACCATGAGCTTTGTGGTGGAGCACAGATGATGAGCAGTCACCAGGGAGCAGGGTGGAGCCGCTGCTGGTGAGTAAGTGTGTCTTTGATCATCCGGTTTAAGGGATTAAGAGCAATCTGTTTCTTTGTGTTTGAAGTGGCAGTTTTACAGTAGAGGAAGCTCTCTAGAATGGGCATTTTGGAAAAACAGAACAAAACCCCACCGAAATTATTAAGAAGCTAATTTTCTTGCCAACCTTCCTCCTCTCCACACTCCTCAGTCCCTGTGGCCTGTCCCCCCTGCCGGTGTGTTTTTCTCACCTGGGAGTGGGAGGGGTGTGAACTTTGGATCTGTCAGGTTAGCCTTTGGCAAAGGTTGACAGGGGAGAGAAACAAAAGCCGGTCCGGATTTCATGGAGTGAGCCCTATTCCTGGCAACCCCAGTGGCAGAAGGCAGAACACCCTGCGAGATTGTGGGGAACACTGTTAATCAGCTTGCTCCTCAGAAGTGAGGAGAGTCAAAGACTGACATTTTCTTATGAGGATTTTTTTCTGAAATCCGCAGAAAAGCATCTCTCCCATATCTTCTTGCGGTTTCTTATACAAAGAGGGTGTATTTTTTAAGCTCTTGTTTTTCTGTTTTCAGACAATCAGAATTTTTTTAGATGAATCCAAGGTCTTTAGTTTATTAATCTTACACACACACACACACACACACACACACACACACACACACACGACCTCTGTGAGAGGGAGATTACTGAGCCGGGGCTCCTCCAGGGGGGCTGCTGTGTCTGACCCAGTCATTCGGTCTCAGCTGCCAGTCCCTACAAAGTGCTCATTTTCATATCTGCATTCTCTCCCTTCAGAGAGGAAGCAACTTCCACTTGCCTCCCTCTTAAGGAAATCAGATAGATTCCTAACACCTGCCTTAATCCAAATTCACGGACAGGGATCCTTGCTGTAAATATAGTCCACAGAACTTGATAGGAAAAGTGAGCCTGAATCAGGACACTTCGGGTCACACACAAAAGAAAGATAGTGACAGCCTTCAGATACGAGCACAGAAATGTCAGCACTGTGGGGACACATTGCCCCTCATTCTGTTCTTTTCAGATTAGGAAGGGTTGACATTATAAATGTTTCTTGGACTTTCACTCCTTCATAAGATTATACTGAACCAAGAAAGGAGATGGAGAGGACAGAAACCCTTTCTATGCATATATATATATAAAAAATAAGCCATTTCTCTCTTTTCTGAACTGAAAAAGAACAGAGGACCGTTGTTTCATTGGGCAGTGGAAGAGCCTTAAATTAGGAAGTAGGATCATTAGATTAAAGTCACAGCTTCTTCTTCCCACCAGCTATGTGCTCATGGGCTGCAAACTCTCCAACTCTCATGACAGTCATGTGTCAAGAATCTCTCCTCCTCAAAATGTATCTGAATGTCAGATGATATAACAGTGTATTGCAAATTTTAAAACCCTTTTCAAATTAAAAGGTTATTACATTTATTGAACTACAAGACAATATCAGTCTACTGTTAAAATATCCTTGAGTCTTTCTTGGCCTGGGACGGGGGTAGCTGGGTGGAGGAGCTAATGGGGGTGGGGAGGAAGGAGGATATCTGTGATGCTTTCAACAATAAAGATAAATTTTTAAAAATGCATGCACCAGGCACCAAGAATAACACACTGAGATTGTAGAATATTAACAAGATTGTTTTAAAGAATAAAAACAATTCAAGGAATCCCTGAAATACAAAAACAAAAAAAAGCCTTGGGAGTGAAGAATTCGGAGAAAGCACAAGCCTCATTTTACTTGCAATCTAGAAACAGATGATTCGAAATCTTTCTGTCCAAGTATTTGCAACAGGCACTCAGTGATGATCACCAAGAGGGAGGGGGAAGATTAAAGATAAACAACACATCTTTTGTCTGATGCAGAAAAAGATTCAGTCTGCATGTGGAGGAGACTCAGAATTAGAGTTCGTTTTGCAGAAGACGAGCGGTCTCTAGACAAAAGCGTTGTGATCTCCCGGACAGGTGGTGCGTTCACCTAGGCTATTTCGGAGCAGCTAATCCTGCGTGGCCTTTGTGTGAGCTGTGGAGGTGCAGACACAAGGGGATGGGAGGACAGGGACAGAGGGAGGCCCCAGGCACACACGCTCTTGCACGCCCCTTGGCAGCTGCCTTTGGTCTTTCTCCTGTCTGCCGAGTCTGGGGAGGTTATTGAGTTGTTTCCATCAGGCACAAACATAAATCAGAGTTTTTAGTATTCAAGATCTGAACAGTGATTCTTTTGGAAGTTGATTGCTTTTTGAAAGCACAACCTGTATGTTAGTCCACAGCCCTGAAGATAGACAGAAATCGAAAGCTGGCTTCACCATTTAAGACTAGTGAGGAACTAATGATTAGCTTTTTGTGTACAGGCAAAATCTAGTTATTAAAACTCAAATAACTAACAACAGTCCTTCAAAACTCACCTTCCTGGGAGTTCTGTGCCACTCCCCAAAGAAAAGTCAGACACACACATAAACAAGTGTGTAGTTCTCACGTGAAATTTTAAACACTGTTCAGTTATATAAAAAATTACTATTGTACACATTCATTCACCAACCGATGCTCCTACAAACTGTCCTTATGAGAAGTCTTGGGAAGTGGTTTCAGTTCGAGATTTCCTTTGAAAACCAGCCTTGTCCCAGAGATTTTCCTTGAGGTAGGGTCCGGTTGTATGTGCCCCTTTCAATGAAGTCACTGCAGTGGTTTGATCCAATCACAGCAGTTCTCAGAGACGAAACCTGGGGCTTAGAGGTGGTTTTGCTGAAGTCCCCAGAGAGTGAGAGAGCCAGGATCTGTGGGGGGCTCCTAGCTCCTGGGCCACACTATGCTCCCCATGGGCTGCTCTGTGAATTTGCTGCTTGGTAGGAGGCATGGAGCAAAGGAAGCATGGCAGAGGAGGGCAGTCAGTGAGAGCTCAGCGGGCAGCCAGGACACCTGGGACCTGCGCTCTGCCTCTCTGGACACTTGTAAAACGAATGTTTGCAGGAAATGCACTAAAACCCTCATTCATTTAACAAACGGGAATTGCATGTTTACATTCTCCCAGCCACAGTGTACTACTATGCTGTGACTCTAACCCCATGTGACCTGCTACCGTCCCATCAGCAAGGAGCCTGCACTCCAGCAGGAGGACACACACCAGACACATAGAACTGCAACTCCTGTTTCAAGCCCTGTCTTAACCTTTAAGATTCCTTCCAGCTCAAAGACTAAGGATCTCACCATCTATTTTTAGCCGCACCTTGTAACAGGGAGCTTTGCTTTCTTCCCCTGTATATATTTGAGCGTAGCCAGCTGCTGTTATTTCTTTCTGATTATTCTGTTATGAATTTCTGTCTAGTTTTGCTTTTGTAGGTGGGACTTTCCCATTCTAAGGAGATCATTAGTCATGTTATTTATTTTATTATCATTTAGTAACGACATGGCAGATTGTGAGAAATGGATGAGGCGCTGTACATCCAGTAGCCCTGTGGCCAAGAGTTCCAGCAGGAACCCATTTGTGACCTACCAGCGTGCACTCGGGTTGCCAAACTTCACCACTTTCTCCTTTTTTGTTAGGGCTTTTCTGTTTTAGATCTTTGTTGTTTGTTGACTTTTGTTTTGAAAGTCCCGGCTACACAGGATCTTTGATGCCTTTTCCAATGAGATTATTGTTGTTTTTAATTTTCTATCATTAGAGGCACGAAGCTATATTTTTTCTTCTCTGACACATTCATTCTCATGCTTTCCTACTTAGATGCCCACCTACTTAGATGCCATATTTTTGTTTTGAAATTTTTATTGAGACTTGGTACTAAATACCATTTACAAGGGCATAAAGAGAAAATAAATATGTGCTGTAAAAGAAAACTTTAATTGGCCGTATGCCTGCTATGCAGTGGGTACTGCAATTATTTTGTTACACTTGAATGTCTTCTTTTTTCTGTAAGATTTTATCCATTTGCTTCTTCATTTCTTTATTTTTATTGTTGACACTATTACAGATGTCCCCATTTTCCCCCACTTGGCCCTCCTCCACCCAGCCCCGCCCCCTTCCCTCTGGCCATCACCACTCTCTTGTCTGTGTCTACTGGTTATGCATGTATGTTCTTTGTCTAATCCCTTCACCTTCTTTCATCCAGTCCCCTCCCACCTCCCTCTGACAGCTGCCAGTCTGTCTCTTCATTTCCGCGTGTGCCTTATGTGGCTCCTACATGTTGGTCTTTCTTTCTACTTACTTCCTCAGAGTTATTTCTACCCTCTGAGTAGAGCCCCACAGGCCAGCAACCGAAGTGGAGAGAAAGGGGGCTGGATTTAGGGGAGCTATTTCTATAGCGTTCTAGGGGGTCCTAGAGAGGTCCTTAGATCTTCAAACCCTGCCCCCTTGTGTTAAAGTTGCAGGAGGAAATCGGGTCTTGGGTTAAGTGGCTCTTCTTAAGTCCCAATGTCCCCTTGGGACCCCCCCCAAATGATCCCACTCCAGAGTCTTTTTCTCCAGTTTGCTTCTTTCTTATCCTCCTTCAGTGCCTTCTTTTTCTCCCTAAGGCCCTCTTCTTTGGTGGTCCTCCTCCCTGGCATCTGTCCCACTAGTTCACTTTCCTTCCTTTCTTTGCTATTTGTTTGAGAATTTACTTTCTGTTCTTTGCTTTTTTTTTTTTTTGCAGGGGTGGCAAGCATTTTATTCCTTATTGTGTTTTTTTTTTTCTGTTCCATTCACTGCAAGCTTCTTTAGTGTCATGTCTCACCTTGCTTCTTCCCTCCTCACATTTTTGTTTGTAGGTTGTTTTTCATCACAGACTGAACAGCTTCAAGGGCCGGAGCTCCCTGCCAGCTCCCCCACGGGGACATGCTGGGCCCCTTCGTGCAGGCCAGGTGGCCCCAGGCTCAACATTTCATCTTCCCTTCACTCCATCATCACACTCCCGACCCGATGTGTTTACTTCTCTTTCTCCCTGGCTTGGCTGGGTCTTCCTCTCCCGATGACTATAGATGGCTTTTGTTTTATTTTAGTATCTTTTTAATGTCTTTTTTATTTAGTTTTGCCCTTTTTTCTCTCGTTCTCTTTTCTTGGGTTGTAGCTTTCCTTTTGCTTTTAATTGTGTGCCTCTCTTTACAACTTGACTGCCTTTATTATTTTCTTCTCTACCCTCTATAAAATGAATAAAAAGAAAAAAGGAATAGCTGATGCATATACATCATTTATTATATGCCAAGATTTGACATCATGCTATCTGAGTCTTACAACAAGGAGGTACTATTTGTATCTCTATTTGACAAGTGAAGAAATATCTTGTCCCAAATCAGCAGATTAACCGAAACCCAGGCCCCTCGTGCCCTGTGGCCGCACTCTCGTGGGTGGCCCCTTGTCTGCCCTTTTCTTACTCTCTGCCCTGCAGGTCTCAGTTCTTTCCTGTAAATTGTCCTTCTTTTGTCTTCTGGGAAAAAGAGGGAGAAATGAGGTCAGACATTGACCCTGAATCTGTTCGCGTCTAGCACATATCAAACCTCCATGTGCATTTTTCTTTTGATTAAAAAATTAGCTGTCCTTAGCTATTAGTGTTTTATGACCCAAAGAGGAATCTGCGCTAGTGTCAGAATTTCTAAGGGCTGTGGCTCTGTGTGTGTGTGTGTGTGGGGGGGGGGCGGGGTCCACCTGAGAGTGGGATCCCCCTGGATGCCACTGGTTCATGTATTTAGTTGGAGGGGAGCTGTGGGCTTTGACTAAAGCTCAAGTGTGTGCACTTGAAGTCCAGCTGCCCTGGCTTCACTTTGAATTCTCTCACCACCCTAGACAAGTGGCTTGCTCTCACTGGGCTTCAGTTTTCTCAACTCTAAAATGGGATACCTTGCAGGAATGTTGTGATGATCGAATTAGAAGACTGTTACAAAGGATATATCAAATACTCCACAGTACGTGGTAAGAGTTGCATCTGCCTTGGAGACTATAACCTCAGAAATACCTTCGAACCCTCCCTTCACTCAGAGGCCCTCGCCAGAGCAGAAAAGTGGGCCTTGTCCTTGTAGACTCCCAGGGCAGCGGCAGGGGCCTCACCCAGGATTGTTTTCTGTTTCTCTAACTAGAGGCCGCATCCAGCCCTCTGCAGCCAGGGCTGGCGGATCTCCTGGGCCAGAACAGTTGGCTGCGGGTCAAGGTACTCTAGTATCCCCCAAGGCTTTCCAGAATGTTATACAACTCTGGCCTCCACCGCCAGCTGCATGGTGGTGATTTTCCTCTCTGTCTGGGCACAGGCCTGTGTGGAGCAAGCGAAAATCTGACCCAACGTCCCTTCTGAACTTTGTCCTGTGTTCTGGTCCTGCAATCATGGGAATCACCCAGGCCAGGTTGTCTGGTGACACAGTCTAGTCACCCCTCTCATCTTTGCTAGTTCTTCACGATCCTCTTATCTGTCAAACTGGTGATTTTATTATTTTATCCTTGTTAGGAATTGGAGCATTTTATTACTTTCAAGATTTCAAATAAAATTCCTCTCAATTTAATGTAAGCAGAAGCAATACCTTGTGAATGAATAAAAGTGTCTGGATGATGGATTCCCTGAAAATGTCTCAGTAGATTGTAGGAACAGATTTTCCCTCCATTTCTCAGCATCCCGGAGTGTCCCCCACTGTGATTCATATAGAAATATTCTTTGTGGTCTTCTATTTTCTTCTCCTTCTTCTGTAACTGTATTTCCTTTTCCTGTTGCTACTTTATGTGTCATCAGGTAGAAAAAATTAAATATAGCAAATGAAAAGTCTTTAAACTCACAAAGGTCCCTTTCATCTAGAAAGTTATTCCTTAATATAAAATAAGAAAGAATACAATTTTTAAAACATGAAGTATTATACATATGAAATTATTATTATTCTTATAGACTTTTTTAAAAAAACATTTATTTAATGGGTCATTTTCTAAATGACAGGATTAAAATATCTTGCTAGCTACTGCGATTGCATATAATTGATTAGATAACTGTTATTTGATACTTCTTGGAGGTCACTTTTCACATGATAGAGTCTTCTTAATCCCTCACAACTATTATCTTTAGGCCACTCTATTTCTGTCTTCATAATATTATGTTCAAATATCAACCTTCAGATGTTAAAAAAGAGTTCTTTAGGCAAAGTTCTAGCAGATATACTAAACTGACAGAGAGAGAGATCAGCAGAGGGCTAGGTTTTAGTAAGCTTTTGACCATGTCAGTGTTCGTCTTAAAATGGATTTAACTCCATTCTAAATTATAGGCTTTAACCAGTATCTCTCATTTTAAACAAAAGGTACTCGATGAAATTCTACATCATTTAGGTAGTGATCATTTGCTTACAAAAATTCTCAGTATAGAGTTTACTCTTTGAACTAGATTACTAACTCAAGGTAAATTCAATCTCTGCATGATATTTTAGGAACGTATCTATTACACTGTTCATCTCTGCTATGGATGATTTCAATGAAACTGAACATTTCACTCTAAAATCATTTTTGTATAATTCATTGGATTTATTCAATTTCCAAAGAGAAGTTCCTCTTTGGGCACTTTTTTGAAGTCAGTATCATGTCTAGTAAATTCAGAAACATATTTGCCAACACATTTTGAAATGTGATCTTTGGTCCTGGCCCGTTTGGCTTAGCGGTTGGAGCTTCAGCCTGCGGTCCGGAGAGACCCGGGTTCGGTTCCCGCTAGGGGCGCGTACCTCGGTTGCAGTTTGTCCCCGGCCCTGGTTGGTTGTGCGGGTGGCAGCCACTCCATGTGTCCCTTTCACATTGATGTTTCTCTCTCTCTCTTCCTCCCGCTCTGTCTGAACAAAAAATGGAAAAATGTCCCGGGTGAGGATAAAAAAAAAAAAGAAAGAAAGAAATGTGATCTTTGTCATTTTTTTTTTATCCTCACCTGAGGACATTTTTCTATTTTTTGATCAGCTAGAGCAGGAGGGAGAGAGAAAGAGAAACATTGACGTAAAAGGGACACATCGAGTGGCTGCCACCCACACGACCCAACCAGGGCCGGGGACAAACTGCAACCGAGGTACATGCCCCTAGCGGGAACCGAACCTGGGTCTCTCTTGCCTGCAGGTCGACGCTCTAACCACTGAGCAAAACCGGCCAGGGCGATATTTGTCATTATTAATATTGAAAGTATACAAATAGTTAAATAAAATGTATTTTGACATTTTTCTTGCTCCTTTAAAAGTGCATTTTACTTTTGGAACTAACCATCAGTTCTTATCTGTGTCTGTTCATAGGAGCAAGACAGAAAGATGGATTCTTCTTTAATCTGAAGGTTGCATTGTGACAGCACTAAGAAACCATCAGAAAAACTTCCTCTACATGTGTTACTCTTAGTTTTTGCTTCTTATAAGCCACGTGTGTAAGTTTCTGTATTTCTCTGAACAACCCTGTTAAGACAGTTTGTGTTATTTTAGTTTTACTAGGCTGATTGAATGGTTGCATTTTTCCCCTGTAAAATTATTTCTTCTTATGCTTTAATCCAGGACATAAACTTTCTATTTATCTTTTCTTCCATTTGGGTAGACAAAAAAAAAAAGTATTTTTACCGTTCAGTCAAACCATACAACAGGATGGGATTTGTTCTGTTTTAATCCAAGCCAGTACATCAGTAACTTGGATCCCAAATCTCCTTATAGGTTCTTGGAACACGTGAGGACGAAAATTGCAGCACATGCTTGGATTTTAAATATGATGGGTTCTCACTGTGAATCATATCTCAGCCAAGCCTAGTCATTCTCTTGGTTACACTCTACATGTTCCTGTATTGGGTTTAACACAGTTTCAGATGTGATTGTGAAAAATAGTGGTATTAACGTTTGTGCTTTGTTTTAATTTTTCTGTTTGTGCAATGTCATGACACTATTTGTTGCCTTAAGACAGAATGGCTTAAAATACTGAAGAGCTAGTGAGTATATTTAAAATGAAGTTCTTAGTCTCAGGAAGGTATAAAATATCTATTTCCCTCTAGCAACCCAAACTTTGTTATGAGTGTATAGTTTTGTTTTTGTTTTTGTTTTTGTCTTTTTCAATGATTCCCCCCATAGTTGCATACTCCTGTCTCCCACAGATGGGTTGGAATCTGAAGAGTGACCAGTTTGGGGTGATAGAGCAGAATGTGAGCTCTTCCTCAGTGGCTCAGTCTCTCCAGCCCGAGCCACGCCAGCGGTGGTGACCTAGGGTTATACACAGTGACTAGGGTTGAAAGAGAAGATGAGAGTCCAAATCACAGACTCTTTCACCAACATGCAATACTGCCTCCATTGTCCCCCAATTCTGAAGGTCCTTGTGAGTGTTCACAGCGAGTCTTGAAGAGTTGCTTGATCAGATAAATATTTAGCTTGTCAGGATTACTGAGTGTGTATATTTGACAAATATGACATTGGAATATTCCTTACTATTTAAAAGAATACCTTGAAGGTTTTCAGAGGTTTTCTAATTTAAGGAATCTCCTCCTCTTTACTGATTTGTTCAGAGATAAAACATTCTGGTAATTTTTTTTTAAAACGTATTTTGATTTTAATAGTCATCAGTATTTGGTTTCTGCTTAAAAATGCTTCTTGAAACCACAGAATTTTATGCTGTTCATGACTGCAGGTATGGGTAAAAAATGATGAGACTGATTTTTGCATGATTTATGTAGTCTCATTACTTTGTAGTTATGCTTCCTATCTCAGACTCTTTTTAAAAAACTCAATTTCACCTTCAAGGCCTTTCTTAAAGGAATATTTTTCCTAAAAATAAATTAAAATGTATAAAAGGAAAGGTATCAGGAAGGAATAATCAGCTCTGCTCACAATTCAATCATTGGGCTGATGAGCTATGAAGTGCAGTGATAGCCTCTGTGAGACATGAAGTATGAAGCAGCCTCTGAGTGTGGAAAAGATGCGCCTGTACAATATTAGGAAAAGTGTATTCCTTTGCCTAGAGGTCTCTTTACCCAGGTGCATCAACACATCCGCCCCAGAACTTCCTGAACTTTTCACCATTGGGGAACCAGTCACAGCATCAGCCCTTCCTCATTTTCAATAGAGATTGGCTGGGTATGAGGTCACCCAATATTGAAACGAGAAAGTACAATCAATTTCAAAGATCTGAAATCTTTAGTACTCGAAACAGTACCAGGAACCCTCCAGTATTTGAACACATCTGCTGTAACTTACATAGGATTTGGATGGGTAGTACCAGAACTGGTAAGATTGTTTTAAAACTATGTGTGACTTTGAGGAAAACCCAGAGGTCATGCTGAGTAGTTCAGCTTCTTGCCAGCTCTCCAAAAAGAGAGACTGTCCTTTCATAGAATATGTGGTAGAATTCTCATCTACCAAGGGTCTCAGTCCCCGTAAGCTGCTTATCATTAGTCATCACCAGCAGATCTGAGCCTTAAATTCTCACATTGAGGTAAGCTAGGACAGACGTTAGGAGAGAGAGGGGGACTTTTCATTTGTTGGTTCTATCAGAGGGGCCAAGTCCTCTGAGGAACTGTCAAGGATGTAGTAAATGTCTAAGCAGTTAAGAATGTAACTTTATAATAATATTCTATGAATATGACACTATCTATTGATAAGTTTGTGGTTCTCTATTTCCTCAAACCATACAAAGCTGCTAGGCCATTTACTACCTCAAATGATAGTGAGGAACATTTTTAAAGACTTGAGGTCAATCTAAATCCTCATCGCCACTGTTTTATCATTTCCTGAGGTTGTATTGATGTTTGAATGAAGTGGTGGTGCCCTTCCTTTTTCAACCAAAGTAGAATGAGAGTCTGTGAACCTTCCAATCCATAAAACTATCTCACCTGATCACCGTCCCTTTAGCTACTGAACTACCCTCTTATGTTTTGGTGCATAAAATGAGTTGTGAAGCATGTGGCATTTCCTAAATAGTGCTTTGAGCTCGAATCTAATCAGATTTTCAAGGTCTAGCTTCTGCCATTTTCTCTCAGGATTACAACTGTGACTCAGTTTTCCAGAGGAACCATAGGGCATTGCGTGCAGAAATCTTGACCCACTTTCTCTTTTTTCCTGTTGGTTAAGTGGTCAGGTTGAAATATGCTCTATTTGAATTGTTTTTTGGAAATCTGAACACATTTGTAACCAGTATGAAAATTTAATACACCAGAATGTATTTTTTAAAAAGCACTCACTGAAATTGCCCTCAGGGTTAAATAAAGCCCAGATACGCAGTTGGTGACTTCACTTATAGCCTGTCTGTATGTCTGTGTGTGTCTCTGTGTATATGGCTGTTTGTATATCATTGAGTAAATAAGTTAAAACAAATTACATCTTGACATCTCTATGATAAATCTCAATTGTTAACACACATTTCAAATTCATCCTTAGAATACTAGGAAATGCCTAGTAGTATAAATAGTCTTTGATTTCAGATTTGACTTTATCATCTTTGCCTCTTAAAGACATTTAATGTGTGTGAATTATTTTCATCTTGTTTGTTACAAATTGAATGCTCATGCTACCTGAAATAATACTTTGGACTGCAGGACAGTATTGATTTCTGAGTACATTAACTATAATCTCATGCTAGTCTCTCATGCTAATCTCAATGATAGTCTCTGTGTTTAAAAACTATCATGGTATACATTTTCCTACGTGGTGCTTGAGGAGTTTCATTCTACAGTTTACAAGGTGTAGGTTTGCACCCCAAATTCTCAGGGTATGCTATTTTACCCAAATACTTGAAAGAAAAAGGTGCCCTGTATTTTATCAGTACTGTTGAGGAAAGAAATTATAAATTGTGTGTAGGTGTGTTTTAGAAAAATCCAATCCATAAAATATCTTAGGCTTTTACATAATTCCTAAGGAGATACACATATAGATATGATATATATTTTCAAGAGACTGTTTCTACATTCTTAACTAACTTCTGGGTCCTAAGTAGACCTCACAGGTGCATAAAATCATTAATGAAGCATGTAGCATTTGCTAAATTGTACCTTGAGCTTGAATCTAATCAGAATTGCAGACTCTGGGGTGGAAAAAAAAAAAAAAAGCGTGTTTATCTGTGGCACGTGTGAGTACAAGGCCCAGGGGAGGGTTCTGAAAATCGGCCTTGTGTGCTCTGTGTCTCAGAAGAGGACCGAACACTCCCAGCGGTATTTGTAAGCTGTTGACATTCTCGTTCATGTCGCAACTAGAGCATATTCTTCCTGAATTCACGATGGTGCAGAATAAAACACACACACGACACATCTCATTTGATTTTTTTTAAGTTTCATAATTGCTTCTTACAAGCTCGTGTTAATGGCAAAAAGTCCTTTCCAGGGCTCTTTGAAATTACCTATCAAACCCGTATCTATTTTCAAGCAAGTGGTCCTTTTTCCCCCTCGCCCTTGGAAGATGTAGGTTTCTATATTTACATTTAAATCATATTATTGTACAGTAAAGGCAGTGGTGGTTGAAAAGAATGTGAAGACTGAGGAAGTTATGTCCCAAAACAAGAAGAGTAAATTGTATGATGAATGAAGAGAGATACTGGATAATGCTGAATTATTCCCCTGGCTATGGAAAAGGCCAGTGGTCAGTGGAAAGAATGTGAAGATTTGGACTGCTCTCAAGATAGAAATCTGGGTGGAAGCATTCCCACCTTAGGTCTGATGGGACTCAGTTATAGAATGCACCGAGCTTGCCAATGGGACTGTGAATCCAGCCCAGCAGCTCCGAGAATTTATCCGTGTGTTGCATATGGAGGAAACTACTTAGACGAGGACTCTGTGAGACTAGCCTACTGGTCTCAATTGCCAGCATTTGTAAGTGATTGTGCAATCGTGTGTAATGGTCTTTTATTTTGACTCTTGGAGAAAAATTGTTTTGTTGTTGTTGTTGTTGTTGTTTTTCCAGTAAAAGTAACTGCAAAGAAAACTCACATTGTTTGTCTTTATTTTAACTCAGAAATAAGCCTTGAACATTTTCATTTCCTTCTATCTTCTAACTTAAAACCTTCATTTCACTCAAATATTCTAAGGTTTCACATCCAGGTTGTAATAGTTTTCTGTTGTTGCAGTGACCACAAAATTAGTGGCTTAAGACAAAACAAAGTTATTATCTTGCAGTTCTGGAGGTTAGAAGTCTGGGATGGATCTTTCCCCGAATCCATCCCAAGGAATCTAACTGCTCGCCTCACTAAGGAGCATTGTAAGGAGCACCTTACAAGGTGTGTGATGCTCGACTGGCACCCAAGAGCAACTTGAACAGCAATGTCCCTGAGGTCCCACACCGAGGCCCAGGACAGTCACGGTAGTTGTCCCCTTCAAAACCTGAATAGAAGAGGCACACATTTTGAAGACCTACTGCACAGTGAGGATCAATGTGTAATGTATCCCTTAAGTCAACCACAATTAACTGAAGTCACTATAAACCTTAAGATTGAAGCTCCCAAAAAGACTTGAACCCACATTTCACAAAGAGGTACACCCAGGATACCTCACCTATGTCCAGGTGATCAGGCAAGAGAGAACAATGAGGGCAATCTCAGGCCTTATGTGTTCCCAAGTCACCTCTGACTTCCATCTCTTGTTCCGGTGAGTTCTCATATTCCATTCTCCATCGTGCCTCAAGCCTGCACTGTCTTACTCTGCATTGCATTCCCCACCCCCATCCTGAGCATTCCTGACTCAAGCCTCTATGTGTGGCAGGATTTTGCTGAAGGTTTAGGCTACCTGGGATAGAGATTTGCAGGTGCTTTATCATATGGCCACCAGCTACATTAGCAAACACTTTAAACCTGAACCACTTACATACGTGTTCTTAAATAGCCCTGTGCTATCTCTGGCACTAGAAATTTTTCA